AGTGCGGTCGATTTCCTGCGGATCTTCTTGGACGCAGGCCCCGCTGCGCAAGCGAGGAGCGGCGGAGTCGCGCTTATGCCAAGCTTGCCTGTTGGATGAGGGCACGGAGGTGCAGATAGTTGTTTTTCCCCAATCAGAGCTTGCCTCTGTAGGGGTCGTAGCGGATGAAAGGGTTAGGTGAGGCGTGTCGCCGATGTCGGTGGCCGGGCCCGGGTGCCCGGGTGCCCGGCGGTGCCCGGGTGGCCGGTGAGGTTTGTCGCCGACTTCGGTGGCCGGGCCCGGGTGCCCGGGTGCCCGGGTGCCCAGGGGTGCCCGGGGGTGCCCAATAGCCCAATAGCCTAGTAGCCCTATAGCCCTACAGCCCTATGGCCCTACAGCCGTATAGCACTATGGCCCTATAGCCCTAGAGCCCTAGAGCCCTATAGCTCTAGAGCCCTATAGCCCTATAGCCCTATAGCTCTATAGCCCTATAGCCCTATAGCCCTAAGGTTCTACAGCCCCTATAGCCCAATAGCCCTATATCACTATACCCCTATAGCCATATATATATATGTATAGCCCATGTAACCCCATTGCCCCAACAAGAGTATGATTGGGTTTTTCTCCGGTATCATAGAATCCATCTTGTGGTGTCAGGTCATCGCTTTCAGGAGACAGCGCCCCGCGTTCGGTCCCTCCCTCCCCCCTCCTTTTTCTTCCTCCTCCCCCTCCTCCCGCGCCCGCCGCACCCCTTTCGGCACGCCCTCCACACGCTTCGTGGCCCCACAGGGAGCTCCACCGAAGGCCCCAGTGGCTGCGCTCGCATGCGCCCGCGGCACCCCTTTCGGCAAGCCCCTCACACGCTTCGTGGTCCCATACAGCGAAACCTAAGACAGAACAGCAACCTTCGAGAACATGAGGCCCCCCGCCGGCCAGAACACCCCAAACCTTGAGATCAATCGACGGTACCCTCCCCCAGGATGCACACATCCAGCAAACACGGCGAACAGTAGGGCACCCTCCCAAAACCGACCTCGATCTTATACCTCGGCACGGCTGCAGGGAGCTCCACCGAAGGCCCCAGCGGCTGCGCTCGCATGCGCCCGCCGCACCCATGTCGGCACTCCACTCACACGCTTCCTGGCCCCACAGGGAGCTCCATCGAGGGCATCGGTGGCTGCGTTCGCATGCGCCCGCCGCACGCATTTTGGCACACCCCTCGCACGCTTCGGGGCCCCATAGGGAGCTCCACCGAAGATCCCAGTGGCTGCGCTCGCACGCGCCAGCCGCGTCCATTTTGGCACATTCCTCACACGCATCGTGGCCCCATAGGAAGCTCCACCGATTACAGTATTCACAATTGCGCTACTCACAACAAACATATGGTTGGGTCCTTCGCCAAGCTAACTTTCACCGCAGTGCGTGCAGGATGGCCTGGTGAAATATCGGAAATTTGCCGACGCAGCGCAGGAAAGGAGCAAGCCCTTGGCCAGACTCTGAGGTGTCATGGTTCTGGGATTTTTCTGAAGGCCCCCTGTGCTCACTTTCTACATGTACCGATCAGTTAGTGACTCGCCGTTCAGTTGAGGGATTCCACACAAATGAGGTGTTTGATGGAGTCATGGACTCCATTGGAACACCCATACGACTCCAGTGGACCCCGCTGGCATACCAAAACAACTGCATTAGTCCCCACTGGAGTCAATCTTATGACTAAATACGACCACATGAGGGTCCCCATAGGACGCCACCAGGCTGCAAACGATTCCTTTGGACTCTGCTGGGGTCAATTGGGCTCCATTGGACTCCAATGAGCCCCACCAGACACCACTGGCACAATGGACTCCATCGGCCCAATGGTCACTATTGGATTTCATCGGGCTGAAATTGAGTTCATTGGAACCCGTTCGAATGCCCGTACAGCTGCATTGGACTCCTTTGGAACCGTAGGACCCACTTGGCCAACAATGGGCTCCAGAGGAATATTGTTGACTCCACTGGGCTCTATCAAGATCCATTGCACTCCGTTGAGTCCCACCAGACCTTATTGGTCTAATAGACTCCATCGGCCCAATGGACACCGTTTGACTCCATTAGGCTGAAAGTGACTCCATTCGACTCGTTTCGAATGCCCGTCCGGCTCGGTTGGTCCCCATGGGGCTCTACTGCACTACATTGGAATACCCATGCCACTCCATTTGACTCCGTTGGGGCCCAAGAACCTCATGAACCAACATTGGGCTCCATTGGACTCCGTGGGGCTCCGTAAGAATACCTCGGATTCAATAGGACTTCATTGTGCTCCATCGAACCCTATTTCTTCAACAGACCCCCGTGGGCTCTATTAGGCTCCACTGGACTCGATTACTCTCAATATGAATCCATCGCCAACAGTGTCATGCCCATTCGACTCCAATGGGCTCAATTATAATACCCATGGAACCGACTCCATTGGACACTATGGGGCTCCATTGGACTCCATCCGAGCACATTGGGCTCCACACGCAACTCCATTTGACTTCATAGGACCCGCTTGCACTCATTACGACTCCATTGGGCCCCGTTGTATTCACTCGGCTTCATTGATTTTTATTGGTCAATTGGACTGCATGGGACTCCATTGGGCTCCACTTGACTCTATGCGACTATACATGCGACTCCATACGGCCCCATAGGACACCCTCGACATCCATTGGGCACTATGAGACTCCATTGTACTGCGCAGGACTCCATTGGTCTCCCACTGACCCATTGGACTTCATTGGACTTCATCGTAGGAATACAACAGGGACTGCACAGGAGCACACAGGAATATACATGAATACGCCAGAAACGCAGGAACATGCACATTCGCATACATCGACATGCATATGAATACGTCGACAGGCATCTGAAAACAATAAACCTTGCTGGCATTCCCCAGGGATGCATTGTAACACCCAAGATCGCGCAAGGGCAAAGCAGAGGGGTGTGCGCCTTGCACAAGTTCTAGATTGTGGGTCAGAACTCCTTGGACAAGCCTAGCTGGATAGCAAAGTGCCCTCCGTCGAGGTGGATGGGGTTTTGCTGTTCTGGACGTTCATGGCAGTAATGTCAGTGTTGCCTCTTTCGGATCGCCCCCGATGAATCAGGGCATGTAGATGTCCTTCGCAATTAAGAGTGTGCAGTGCCGATGGCTTGTATATAAACCGATTGCGCTAACGTCACGGCAACCGCCCAACGTAGATACGAAGGGTGCGAACGATCCGGGTGTAAGCTGGCTGGCCTGTGGCATCCATTCTGACAACTGGTCGGTGAACTATGTTGGCTGGTCTGTGGCATCCATTCTAGCAGCTGGTCGGTGGGCTAGTTAGGTGGCCGGTGCAAGAAGGGCGTGAGCCTGTTAAAGGTCAAGGAAGGACAATGTCACCAAGGAAGATCAATAGGCCATACCTTGCCTTTTCGGTCAATTTGCATATCTTTCCAAGCGGGGGGGCTGCTAGCTTAAATCATCCACCGCGGTGGCATCAAGCGTGTACTCAGGAACGTCACCTCGCATGTTATATGTTGAAACATCCTGCTCGAGTGGATGATACAGACTGAATACATCGACATCAACGTGCCTGGTTCCTGGAGGCCGTGCCAGAGTCCGAACCCGAGGTCGAGCCTGACTCCTGACCATTACCCCCATCTCCAGTGCGGGAAGGTATGGGGGATATGATCGAGCTAGCGCGTGGCATTGTTCCTCACCTAACGAACATGGAGATGCATGTGGTTTAGATTCGGCGCTGCAGGTACGCACAGCATCGGAGGCATGGCATCACAGTGGACCGCCGCAATACTACAGACACTCGTACATCGAGACGCTGGCTGTGGTACCAACGCCATGGGAAAAAAGCCAAAGGTGTCAACCAGTTGACTAACAGACAGTGCAAGGCCAACGCTTGTGCACGTGCAAACTTTTCAGAGAAGTCGTGGGCGCATGAACCAGCCGAGCGAGACACACAGCCAGTTGGCACTGCACTCGGCAAGCAGCCACGGGGCCAGCAGCTTGAGCGGTGGGCGACCTTCTTTGCCAGCCACGAGACCTGGAGATCATTTGGGCTCCGAGGAGGCTCCAAGTGATGGGGTGCTGGGTATACACGCGGGCGTTCCGTCGATCCCCATCTGACACTACGTGGCCTCAGTGTGCACTTGTGCATGCTGCTTGAGCTGCGGGTGCTACTCTGCTCAGAGTCAACGCACCGTTTTAGGTAACCCTCGCACGGGGCATGCAACGTCAGGCAACCGCTGTCGAAGACCTGAGGCAGATCAAAGAGTTACGTCCGAGCAGAAAAGGATAGTGCAAAAGTTGGTGGTCCGACCCCGTAGGAACGACAAGCGGCTGCAAGACCGCCATGTCAAGGACGGGTTCGAGATGGGCACCGCCTGGGAGGCCGTGCCTGACCTTGCCGCGGGCAACCGTTGTGCATTGCATGCCCTCGAATGCTTTAAGGCAGGGCGTCGACCGCGAACGGGGAGGCCCACAAGTGGTGCCGACCACCCACGCGATCAGGGCGGCGTGCCGCGCTTGCACTCTTCAGCTCGTTGCGCCCTCGATGCTGGTGGCGACCCTCGGAGCACCAACGTCCTCCTCATTCATCCCAATCCTCCTCCTCCTCCTCCTCCTCCTCCCCCCCCACGTGCTCCTCCGCCATCTTGTTGTCGTTCCTTCCCTCCTCCCCTCGTTTGCCCTCCCTCTGGTCTCGTGGTCCGTCGTCGTCGTCCCCATTGGCGCGGACTATCCGATCGTCGCCGTAGGATCCGGCCAGCCGCGCGGAGCCCGCAGGCATCTCGGCCGCCGAGGGCTGCCACCCCTCCTCGTCCTCCCTCCATCCCCCGTTCCTCCCCCCACTCTCCCTACTCCACCCCCTTTTTCTCTCCTTCTTCTCCTGCTCCGCCCCCTCCTCAGCCTCCTCCTCCTCCTCCTCCTCCTCCTCCTCCTCCTCCTCCGTCTACTCTGGACGTTCGCGGGGAACGCTCCGAACGCACAGCGGACTCCGTCAGAAGTGCGGCGCCACGGCGTCGTACAGGATGCCACAGCTGCCACACACGTACACCCGCTCCGGGCCGCCGTCGCAGCCCGAGCCCTGCTTGGGGTCCTCGTCCCAGCCGCAGGCCTTCTCCTCCTGGCGCGAGGGGTGGGGCGCGGGCGCGGACGTTGGCGTGGGCATCCACCTCCACCTCCTCCTCCTCCTCCTCCTCCTCCTCCTTCGCCTCCTCCGCCTCCTCCGCATCCCACACGATCTGAGGAGAGGAACGAACACGATCGTTGACACCCACACACACACACTCCTGGGGGGGTTTTATCCGTTCTCGGGATGGGCGTCGTTGGTCTGTGCTGGGCACCGTGCGGTTGTTGCGTGCTCAGGCCTGGGAGCGGCCCGTGGCCCACCTGCTCTCGCCTCCTCTCCGATGTCAACCGGTGCTTACAACGTTAATCTCGGGCACCACAGTCCCACCTGCCTGATGTCCACGCACCGAGGGGTCAGTCTTAGAGCGTGTTGGCCGAATCAGAAGCGAAACATGGAAACCAGAGGGACGCCCCCAGCGACATGTTCCAGGGCGGCTAAGGGGAGGAGCAGGACGAGAGGGGAGAGGGTGGAGGAAGGCAATCAAGGTGCGCCAGCGGCATATCTTACCCTGGACCCCTCCCACCCATACCTTCCCAATGTGTTGGATGTTGTTTTCTACCCGCTGGCGGGTGCCATAGCGGACCTGGAACCTTCAAACACACCACATCATGTTATGCGATCACACAACGCAAGCAATGTACATTGTGGGAGGAGGTGGCCGATGAGCAGGGGGAAGATGCAAAGGATGAGGCATGAGGAGGACGAGGAGCAGCAGGAGCGGGAGAAGCGGGACGAGCAGGAGGGCCAGGGAAAGGCGGAGGATGGGGAAAGGAGCAGGGAGACAACGATGAGGGCGGGCTCGGTTCTGGATGCCCCGCTTCAGGCGAGAGCGCCATTCACAACGCCGTGAGCAAAGCGCCGACCCTAACATCAGGCCCACGCTGCAGCAGGAGCACCACGTTAAAACACTGAAAATTCACCGATTGCTGAAAACACTGTCAAAACTCAAGTGTCGGAATACTGTGTAAAGAGCAATTCACGGATAGGAGGGGCACTTCCATGACGTAGTCGGGGGAGAGAGGAGAATATTGTTCATCTTGAGTCATTCTGGATGAAGAGATTGTGAATGACAGCGAGGGGGGGAGATAGCGGAGGAGGCGAAGAGGGAGGATGAAAGGAACAGCTGGGAGGAACATGTATACTTACTGAGGGGCAAGGATGCGAGACGAGGAAGGAGGAAAGGGGAGAGGGTATGAGGAGGAACACCCGCAGAAGGACCGAGGAGGAACATAGTTAGGAAAAGAGAAGATGAGGAATGAGGATGGGTGGATAAGTAAGAGGAGGAGGAGCAGGAGGAGGGGGAGAGGGAGGAGGAGGAGCAGCAGGAGAAAGCTTCCTCGCCCCTCCTTTCATACCTTATCCTCTATCGTCTTCCTACATCTCCTCCTCGGACTGCTCCTTCATCCTCAGGCCTCCTTCCTCATGATCCGCCTTCCGACCTCCTCATTTTTACTGTTTTATTCCGCCTTCCGATCTCCTCATTCTGATCTATCCCACCTCCTCCCCCCGCTCCCTCCTCCTTCTCATCCCCCTCCTTTCTTCTCAGCGCAATCGTTCTGTTTACGTATCCTGCTGCTCAGCATTCCTCCTCCTTTTCCTCTTCCACCTCCTCCGTCTCTTCCACCTCCTCCTCCTCATCCTCCTCCTCCTTCTCCTCCCCCTCCTCCTCCTCCTCGTCCTCCTCCTCCTCCTCTTCCTCCTCCTGGTCTCCTCCTATCACTCCTCCTCCTTTCTCGCTCTCCTCCTCGTGCAGGGAAGCGGGGCGGCGGCGCGACAGTCCTGGTCCGACCGCACGAGCCGGCCCGTGCCGCGCTCGCCCCAGGTCGGGCCCCAGCTGTTCTTGATCCGCCAGTACTTCACCGTCCCGCGGACGGTGTTCTCCTCGGGGGCCCGGGGAGCGGGAGGAAGGCCGGCACGCCGGCGGGAGGAGGGAACAGGGGAAGCGGGGGGAGGTCGGGAGCGGCCAAGAGGGGGGTGTCCAAGAGGGGGGGGTGCAAATCATGACCGGCGGCACGTGCGCGGCCCAGCGGGGGGGCCAGGGACGTAATGAAATAAGAAGAGGCGCCATGAAATCTGGGGAAAATTTCATGGCCCACGCCATGATATCCAGCCCCCCCTAGTCATCACCCCCGTTTTTTCCGCCCCCGAGGAGGGGAAGCAGCGAACGGCTGCGGGCCGGTGAGGGAGTATGGGTATGAGTACGAAAATGAGTATAACCATGTGACAAAGTCCGACGTGCCAGCTTTACGTGGCGAATTACACTTGAAGGCATGACTATACACGACCACGGCTCTGCTTCTCACGTGCACTTAAAACCTCAGGCCACAAACCACGCGAGATCCGATCGAGATCTACAGCTCGATGTGTGGTGGCACGCTGGGCGCAGACCTTGCCAAGTTCACGCAAGACCTCAGAAGCAAAACATCCGCACATATTACAATACCAAAGCTTAAGATGTGTATGCAATTGCATGGCATGAGATTGGTCCCCCCCCGCTATGTGCAGACGTGCCAAGGAGGGCTTATAAAAGGATGGTACCGTTATAATTGACTGGCTGGAAACACTCGGTCTGGCGCCTCTTGGTCGCAGCAGCCCTGCTGGCCGACCCTCCGCAACAAGTGCACCTCCTCCCACTCTCATCGAGACGGTGGGAGGTAGAGAAGAGGGAGAGAGCAGCAGCAGAGGGAGGACGAGGGACGGGGGAGGGTGATGCTATTTCCTGCGCGCCAGGGGCTGCATCAACATCCATAGCATCGATGGTCGCCCTCAGGAGGCGCAGACGGACCAACCTCGCCCGTCTCTCGTGAAGAAGAACCTTCCGCCTGTGGGCCACTGACAAACGAGCTGCGCTAGCCGCAGCTCCCGCAATGACATCAACGATAGAGTTGCCAGTGACAGCCCATCTCGGGGCGGTGCCAGCCTGAATGTCAACAGCGCCGAGGTGAGAGTGCACGAAAAGCACAGAGATGGTATTGAGGCCTCAATGAGCAGATCGAGCTGGGCCCACAAATCAGCATCAGGGCCGCTCGGAACTTCAAAGCGCCTGGTATACCATCCCTTGACTACTGGTTCGCAGTCGGTCACGTATGTGACGAAACCACTAGAAGCCCAGACTGCGAGCACAAAACTCCGTAGCTCCCCTCCAGGCACTGCTTGACGATCGCCACTGAGGGGGCCGCTGGTGGATCCTGCAATTGAAACAACTGGCTCCAATGACTGACATAAAACAACAGCGAGACCTACACGGCGGAACTTAGTGATGGCAGTGTCGGGGCCACCGCTGGCATCGCCAAAGAACAGAAGCGGTGCCTGGGCAGTGCCGTGACCTAGGCACCCAGGACCCAAATCAAAGGACCTGCCACAGCCCAAGCCTCATCGCGGGCTGGAGGCGGGACAGCCACCCATGGAGAGGGCAGCAATCCCCGAAGCCAAAAGGCTGGCTCTGCCTCCGCCTGCATTGTAGCTTGAAGCACTAAATCGTCCGGCATGCTGTAGGCCTCCTCATTGGTATTGCGACTGCACGCCCAGCTGCGATGCACGAGCGTCTCAGGCTCAAGCTGGCAACGAGGGCACTTATCAATGCCACAACAACGTGGGATCTCAGCCTTCTTCCGTGCCCTGGGCCATGCACTACCTACAGCGACCGACAGCATGACCTCGCTGAGGCGATCACCGATCTGGAGAACATCGTGCAGGTGCTGAATCAAAACACGGTATGAATCGACATCTGCACCATCCTGTAGGCCCTCGCCACAGTTGTGTTGATTGGCCTGCTGCCAATACCGTCGCTGCAATACGCCGGAGAAATCCTTGAGAAATCCTGCATGGCTGTCCAAGGCGCGAACTCCAGTGCACATTGAATCATCAAACCTCCACTCGTCGCCTGCAAACTCGGGAGGTACAGGAATGCCCCACCCTGTTGCAGAAGAAATTGACCATCCCGGTTCACTAAGATGTAAAATCACTGCAGACACAGGGCCTCGCACATACTTGGTGCGATGTCGTTCTGGAACTCCCTGTAGCTGCTCAACCACCGATCGCCAAATACGTGAAACTCCTGACCGTACATCAGGGTGGTCACGCCAGATCGACAGGTACATGTCGAGGCACTGCGTGGGGAGCTTGACGCCTGGATCCTGCTGCGGCGCTCGGAGCGCCAACAAGGTGGTCAAACACCTGCCCCGCGTTGGCGCCGCACACGCAAGCCCCAAGCGCCGTCGCGCCTGCACCAACCTCTGGCCGAAAGTCCCGTGCACTTGGAAGCCGTAGATGCCTGCAGACTGAGCACCCTGCAACTCGAGGCGACTCGTGATTTTATATCTGCGTGCCGCCTTGGCGAACCTCCCGATCTTCAAGCTCATACCCTTGTGCTTGATGTCCCTCTTGATGCGGGTCGCTCGAGCAGCTCGGGCCCCACAAGTAAGGTCCACCCCGAGAAAACTCGCCTGCGACTGGGCCGTGATATGATACCCTGCCTGACGAACAGCACGGGCCACCCAACGAGCATCGGCCACATCCGTACACATGACCACCGACTTCGGGGACACACGGAGCTTGCTGGCCTCCAGGGACCTGCAAGTGCCCAGGATGCAAGCCTTCAGGCTACGACGGACATGCGCACGTGACCCACGGACCTGTTGGGAGAGGTCGTCGATCCAGACACGATGGCTCGCCATCGGGTGGCACTCCACAACACGCTTCAGAACAAAATGAGTGAGCGTTCGACCGAACCGAGTGCCCGACCGCAGCCCTTGAACGATGCGGCGAGTTGGCTGGAACGGGGCCGACGTGGCCCCCAGCTGGCTGAGCACCCGCGGCGCCACGCACTGGAGGAGCTCCATGTACAGTATGACTGGCGGGAACCGCATCTCCAGCGCTGAGTCCACCAAGTACGGCCACCCGATCGAGTCGTGGAAGCCATCAATGCCGACTAAGCCGTGGCCCACATGTACATTCAAGTGGGCGCAGACCTCCTCCTGCACAGCACGAAGGTACGCTTCTCTCAAACTAGAATTGCCACGAACTGCAGCACCCCAGCACTCTTCCGTCTCCGACGACCACTCTCGGACCAGCGGCTCCCTGATCGAAGACCACAGGCGGCCGAGGACAAGTACTAAACCAATGATCCGATCACCTTGCACTTTCTTGGGGAGCATCCTCCCCAAGATCAAAAGCAGCTGGCCTGGCCAGCACAAACAAGACTCACATGCAGTGAGAAGTAACGCTAACTCTGCCAGTGCTGTGTTGGGAAGTCGCTCAAGATCAACTGGCGACAAGAAGTCAGCCCCTAGACCCGTGGACGCCTTCATCTGCTTCAGTGCCTCTCTGATGTCGCGAACGCTGATGGGCTGCAACGGGTCGCCGTCTACTGCATCTTCAACCTTCTGAAAGACTCTGCGAACCATACTCTCGTCCAGCGGGCCTGGTGCCCACTTGTCGTGCCACTTAACCGATTTGGCGTCAATATTATCACGAGGATGACACCTGCACCTGCTTCCTTCTCCTCCGCCTCATCCCCTCCTCTTCTTCGGCTGTCCATCCTGCTCCTCCTCTTCCTCCCCACGCTCTCCCTCCTCCTGCTCTTAAATTTCTTCCTTCCCACCTCTGCCGCCGCCACTTCCTTCTCCTGACCATTGCCCTTTTCCTGATCATCCCATTCATCATGATGCAGATGCGGAACAACAATTTGTTCGCAACAATGGCAACACCGTGTCAACAAACAGTGACAACCTTCACGTATCGAAGCACCGTAAATCACCACGTAGTTTGCACATAAAGAAGACGAGGGACCGAAACTCGGGGCGGAAGAAGGGGAGGATCAGAAAAAACATCGGATGAATACCTCCTCCAACTCCTCCGCGTCAGTCTCTTTCACCTCCGCCTCCGTACTCTCTTCCTCCTCCTCCTCCTCCTCCTCCTCCTCCTCCTCCTCCTCTCCCATCCTGTTCCGTGTTGCGCCGCCAGAGTATGTCGACATCGACTGCCGCGGAGTCGTGTACAAGGGGCTCGGGGAGCGGTGCATGTGGACATCTCTCCGCTCATCCATATTAACCGATCTTCGAGATCCCAGGGCACGACTCCGAAGCGGTGGACACGGACATGCATCCTGGCGGTGCACCTGTCCTCATCCCCTCCTCCCGCTCCGCCCACTCCTCCTCGCCGGCCCGCGGACGGCACACTCCTTGACGCCCCAGGCGATCAGCACCACCGCGTGGTTCAGGACGAGGCCAGTGCCGCACGCCTCCTCCGTCATTACGCCATCCGAGTAGTCGAACCAGTAGTCACCCGCCGCCACCGCCACGTACACGGGGCCGTTGGCCATCAGCTCCCGCACGAGGGTATCCTCCTCTCGGGGAACAGATCATGACGTGCACGTGCACTTTCGGAGTTCTGCCCAGATTTCTCAGATCCGCACTGGAATCCCCTCCCTTGCGCGCGGAGCGCGCCAGGGGCGGCGCCGGAGGCGCCGCCAGAGGACCCCAGGGCCGACCCGAGACATCCGCGCGCATCTCCGAAAGATGATGCTCAGATTGTCTTGTGCTCCCCCGATCCTTGTTTTCCGGGAGCTTGGTCCACCCGGTCAGGCCGAGGGCGCTGCCCGCCAATTTCGCCGCCCCGACGCGGTGCACCTCGCTGCCGTCCGCGCCGATGATGCCTCGGGTGGCCACCTCGGTGGCCGACTTCAGCGGCTCGGGGCAGGAGCTGCGCAAGCCGCCCCTGGCTGGGAACTCGCTGTCCTGCAGGAGCCCCATGTTCAGCACGTACTCGAAGGCGAGCTCCGCGGTGGCCCCCTGGCAGCCGCCCTCGCCGCCGCAGTGCTTCGGGTTCGGGGTGCACGCCACCAGCTGGTCGGTGGACCACCCCATGTTTCTCATCCCTTTGATTTCCGCCCGGGACCGCATGACCACCATGGACGCGTGGGCCCAGCAGCTGCCACAGTCGCCCTCTAGGGGTGAGGACGAGGACGAGCAGGATGTTGGCAAGCAGAGTGGGAGAAGGAGGACAACAACATCAAGATATCTCCTGACATGGGACATCGTGTGTCATTGATCGCATCGCTCAAGCACGCCCAGAACCATCGACGCATGCCCTTAAAAGGCTTCCTAAAGATGGGGCCCAGGTAAACGGGGCCGGAAAATCGCGCCGCATCGGAGCAGGAGGAGGAGGAGGGGGGGGAGGAAAACAAGCGCAAATTCGCACGCGCTTGCGCCTGCCGGACTCGCAAGCTACTCAT